TTTGCTTGGTGTTTGTGGTCTTTAATGTTCTTATTCTCAAGACTGTTTTCTTTCCCTTTTTTGGACCTGATGTTAGAGACTTTTCTGCGTTTGCTATATAATTCATGCTTTTTTAATCTTTTAATTCTTTACTCTTTTGAGGGTGTGCGTTACTGTTTCGCTTTTCTAACACTAATTTTAAATTTTGTATTGTATGATAATAGAAGCATTTAGGGAGATGTTCTCCCAAGCTTTGGCTTACTTTATAAATTTTGAAGTGTAGTATTCTCTTTATTTCTTTTATTTTTAAAAAGTTTTTTGCTTTTAAGGTTTATTTTTGAGAGAGGGAAAGACAGCGGAGAGGGACACAGAGAGAGGGAGAGTTGTATCGCAAGTAGGCTTTATATTCTTGGAGCTTGAACTCACAAACCTTGAGATCATGACCTGAGCCAAAATCAGTAATCAGATACTTAACTGACTGAGCCACCCAGACACCCCTTTATTGTTTCTTTTAATAGTTGATTTTCAATTTTGATTCCTTCAGCCTAGGAGTTAATTTAATCAATGTGTTGTAAGGAAGAGATCCACATATGTTCTCTCAGGTAAAAGGGATTTAATTATAGGGAAAACATGAATTCACAGGAATACAGTGCTACAAACTAAAGCCTCCTGTGACCTCTGAAATGGATAGGAATTAGAGTATTTTTCTAATTTGTCACATAACTTCTCTTACGGCTTGGCCACTCCTTTGATGAATTGGTATACATCTGGTAGTTTTTCTTTATCCATTCCTACTTATAAAAAAAGATGTAAGCTGTTTTAATATTGTAGTTGGGGGGCACCTGGGTGGCTCAGTTGGTTAAGTGCCTGACTTTGGCTCAGATCATGATCTTTCAGTTTGTGAGGTCGAGCACCACATTGGACTTTCTGTGGTCAGTGCAGAGCCTGCTTTGGATACTCTGTCCTCCTCTCTCTCTGCCCCTCCTCTGCTTGTTCATGTTCTTTCTCTCTCTCAAAAATAAATAAACATTTAAAAAAATATATTGTTGGCATAGACAGTGTTAATAATGTGATTTATCAGCTTCCCACTGTAGCTCCTTTCCCTACCGTATATAATACATCCTAGCAGATGGAGGATCTACAAAGTTTGTGTTGATCTTTACCATGGCTTCCAACCTATTAGAACTTCCCCAAATTCTGAACTACTTGCGCAGTTTCTGTCTTAGGTTTAAGAGTTGAAGAGCAGGGGCACCTGGGTGGCTTAGTCAGTTGAGTGTCCGACTCTTGATTTCAACTCGGGTCATGATCTCACAGTTTTTAAGTACAAGCCTCGTGTTGATCTCTGCTCTGGGAGTATGGAGCCTGCTTGGGATTCATTCATTCATTCATTCATTCTCTCTCTCTCTCCCTCCCTCCCTCCCTCCCTCCCTCCCTCCCTCTCTCCCTCTCCCCCCTTTTCTCTCTGTCCCTCCCCGACCTGCTTGCTCTGTCAAAAAAAATAAACCTAAAAAAAATAAAGTTGAAGAGCAGTCTCAGAAATCTTCTTACTACTCATTGGGTATTGCATGTGAGTATCATGTTTACTTCCTTAATGAGGTGTTTTCTAAATGTAGCGCTTTTCAACTTGCCTTCACTCCTATAACTAATGTTCCAATTATATGTCCCAGCTTTAATTTTTAAAATAATTTTGTTACTTTAATTTGATAAATAAGGTTGATTTAAAGTTCCAGTCTTAATTTATATTAGCTTTTCTTTAGAAATCCAGATTGTTTATGTATGTTCTTAAAAATTAGTCATGCCAACACATTTCTAGTTCATAGAATTGCCTTAAAATCAGTTAACCAAGTATTTATTGAAATTCTTTTGTGTAGAGCATATAGGAATTGTCACTGAAGTTTTAGGAGACAGACTTTGGGAGGCAGCAGGGTGGACTGGATAAAGTCCATTTGAAAAAAAATTACACTAAAAATTATACTAAAGATATAGACATTAGAGGTTGGTGTAGAACAACAGCTGAAATCCATTCTTGGTAGGATTCGTAGCAGGCCCACCTTACCTGGTGACAGCTGAAATTTGGTTGAAGACTGAGTTAAAAAAAAAAATCCCTTTAAGAAGAAATGGGATCCAGCAAGATTTGTCAAGAAAAATACACCCATAGAACTTGACTTAGCTCCATAGAGAAGTATCTTAATAGCAAATGCTAACTAGAGGAGAGTTTTTGCTGTTGTTTGTTTTTGAATAGAAATAGATGACCAGAGGGATGACGTGACTTTTCCAGCATCCTGAGTTTTGATGCCAGGACTTGACCTACATGCAATTACTAATTGCTGTTATGAGGTTTTCCACAGGACACCACTGGCTCAAAGCCGTCCTTTTTCAGCAATACTTCACCTTTGCAGTATTTTGCAATACAGAGAATGCCCTTTCCTGGTTTCCTTTGCCCTTCCCCAAACCAAGGGATTTTTTTTTTTTTTGCTTCAGAATTTCCTGATTCCACATTCATGTGCTGCATTCTTATCTCTTCCTTTTTGTTTATATATTTACAATAGTTAATAGAGCCAATTGCATTAGCATTCTTTGCCAGATAAAGTTACCATTGGAAAATAAATGATATGAGACCTCCCAGAAATTCAGTTTTGAGATCACAACTTAGGGTGACTTTGTGTTCTTTTTTGTCATTTCTGTAAAACAAGTCTCCTTAAAGACTGTCCGAAAATAAGGAGAGAAGCAAAGTAATGAATTCAGAGTTAGATTTCTTTAGAAAGTATCACAGATATATCTGTATGACTGCCTTTGTTAGTGTTCTCATGATTTAATGTTGCTTACGCTACTGTAATAATATAAGCCAGCTTCAACTGAAGTATTAGGATTGGGGACTTTGGGAAAGGTGCCCTGCATTGTTGCTTGGGAAGGCATTTGGCAAAGCTGTCCTGGTCCTTTTTATACGTGAAACCTTGAGTAAACTGTAACTTGACATAGGCCAAGAATGTTCTTGTTTTTCATCATTGTCCATAGCATTGGGGTAAGATAGATAAAATCCTCATTTTAACATATGGAGGAAATGGAAGTGAGTTGAAGTGGAATGGCCATGGTATATGTTGCTGTTAGAGGATGATTTAGGCTGCGTAGTTCAGTGTGGTAACTGTGGGCTGCTGAGGCTCTGAAGCACTTGAAAGTTGTTAGTCCAAATGGAGATATGCTCCAAGTGTAAAATATACTGGATATTGAAGACTTAGTATTAAAAAGCATCTGAGACTTTTTAAAAAAAAATGGATTACTTTTAAATCACAAAAATTGATTACATGGGGAAATAATATTTTTGATAAATTGGGTTAAATAAAGCATATGAAAAATTTAACTTTTACTGTAACTGCTAAATATTTAGAATTAAATATGTGGTTCCTATTTCAATCGGACAGTGCTAGTTGAGTATAAAAAATGGTTGCTAGGATTGCAGCTTCTAGGATTACAATGTTCTCTGATTTGTACAGTATAAAATACGAAGATATATGAAGGAGAACTATGATACAGCTTGTACATGCAGAGTACTTTGACATATTTAAATTTGTTTGCATTTTAGAAAACTAACAAGTATCATTCTTGACAACTATTTAAAAGCCATCCAGAGTTTAAACAATTGCTGCTGGGCTATCCATGAGACGTAAAAGTGCAGAACTGAGGACCTACATGAATCAGTACCAGCTGTAGGTATTGCCCCGCATACTTACCAGATTGGGAAGGAATCCCAGGTAGCTGTGGAGTGTGTAGCACTGAGGAGAGGTGGGCAAATAATCCTTAGGGACGATTTGTGAGGGTCAACTCAGATCTTACTCTTCTTTCTGACTAGATGGGGCACTTGTGTACCAGTAAATCTGACCCAAGTGTGGTTTAACCTCCCAAGTTCTGAGAATCACTAAGTAGATGGATGTAAGAGGCAGCCAGTTATTAAAAGTATATGCTAGGTTTTGTTAATAAATAGATGGCGAGATGTGAAGCAAGAACTGCTTGTAAACTTCATCTTATACCCAAGACCAAGTTAGCAGAGTGGCATGGGGAGAATCTTGCCCTTTAAGATTTATGACCGATCTTTTCCTTGCTTTTCAGAGGTCTTTTCCTCATTGGATACTCAGCTGGGGATTTCACTGGTTTTAGAAATGTGCTAAATAAGATGTATGTGAATTTTAGCTTTAATATTTAAAAATGACTTATTTTCTTACTGTTAGGGTCAGGCGTAAGGCAGGGTAAAGATAGGAGTCAGAGGCTAAAAAGTTTTAGCAGTCAAAGGCTTTATTTGGGAACTAAGGTCTCGGGCGAGGGTCTGTGACGCAGGGAGAGAGAGAGGAGTCAGGGAAGTCGCACCCAGGTGTGGTGGGGTGGGGTTTTTAAGCCGCAGCGGTTCCGGGTTTAGGTCCGGCTGGGCCTTTTTCGCGTCAGGTCGTGCTGTCGCTCGGTGATTGGTTGACCTCCAATTCGTTCTGGCACGCTACTGGGGGCTTTTCATTGGGTTGCGCTGGCAAGATGGCCGCCCCCTCTACTGTGGTTCCAAGGACATCCTAACACTTACGTGGTCTGTTCCTCAATAATTTGAGTTGGGATGAAAGATTCGTTGGATTTTGAATCACAATTTTGTCTTGATTTATTACATTGTGTGTTGATAGGGCTTACTTTTGAAAAGAAAATTTTCATTGGTTATAAATTTCATAGGCGTAAAGCAAATATGCGTTTACACTTGAGCATAATCAGATAATGAAGTGGTTAGTAGAAACCGATAGACCGTAGATTATCAAAATTAAGAATACAGCAAAACATAACAGCATAACATGAATATAACTTGGACAGGCAGTGGCTCTATAAATAGGATCAGTTCTAAGTGGTATGTGAAAATGCTGGTTATTGGCGTATACCAGTTGATAAAATGCTGGTAAATCAGATTTTACAGTCTGTCTTAGTTGGATGGAGTTTTTATAAGCTTGGGGATGACTCTTGGCTTATGTCCTTTTTTTTTCCTTTCCTTTTAGAATATGGTTTCTAGCTTTAGGGTTTCTGAACTACAAGTGTTACTAGGCTTTGCTGGACGGAATAAAAGTGGACGCAAGCATGACCTCCTGATGAGGGCGTTGCATTTGTTGAAGAGTGGCTGCAGCCCTGCGGTTCAGATTAAAATCCGAGAATTGTACAGACGCCGATATCCACGGACTCTTGAAGGACTTTCTGATTTATCCACAATCAAATCTTCGGTTTTCACTTTGGATGGTAGCTCATCACCTGTAGAACCTGACTTGGCCGTGGCTGGAATCCACTCGTTGCCTTCCACTTCAGTTACACCTCACTCGCCATCCTCTCCTGTTGGTTCTGTGCTGCTTCAAGATACTAAGCCCACGTTTGAGATGCAGCAGCCATCTCCCCCAATTCCTCCTGTCCATCCTGATGTGCAGTTAAAAAACTTGCCCTTTTATGATGTCCTTGATGTTCTCATCAAGCCCACGAGTTTAGGTAAGTGTTAGAGAAATCAATTCCTTGTAGATGAGAGAATAAATAAAGCAAGAGGCTTTCAACTATTGATTAATGATTTGCTGTTACTACTATAAAATTGAGACATTAATGCCAAATAAATGCCAGATAAGAAATATTGGCAACCATGATGGAAATCTAATATAAAACTGTTCATTCATCTTACCAGCATTCTTATGGCTTAGAACTCAAATTGCTTCTGTCTATATAGGAACAGATACAAATATTACTTACTGTCTGTAATTGGTATTTTGATGCTTTTACAGAGATTTAGTTTCTGTTTAACATAGTGTTTAGACTACTTTCCTAAGAAATAAACCTTTCATACTTCATTTTTTTCTAAATTGGCATGCAGAGTGTAGGTTTTTATTTAATACCCATCAACTGCTCAGAAAATTTAATGGATTTTATCATTACTAAAAATTGATACATGGGACTTTAACAAATTTTTACCAACATTGATGGCTTCTTTGTTGTAATGGTATGATTTTTTTTTTTTTTTAACCACCTAATGGAATTGTTTATAGAGTTCTTGGGATTTATTGATGAAATAAATTGTTTGGGAGATGGCGTTTCATAGTTAATTTGGGAGATTTTTTTCCCCCCATCCTGGGAAAAACCCTTTTTATTTAGGTTTTTATTTCAAGTCATCTGAAAATTCTCTTAAATATATCAATGCGCTTTTTTCCTTTTGTTTAGCATTATGCTGGTATATATCTTGATTGAGCCAGAAGGAAATTTTGAGGGGTAGGGCTTGTTAATGGGGTTGGTATGGCCTGATTGATGGTAAGCCAAGGTGGCTATGCTTTTCCCAGCTCCTTTATCCTCACTTTATCTTTCTTTCTCTTTCCCTCCCTCCCTCCCTTTCTTTCTTTCTTTCTTTCTTTCTTTCTTTCTTTCTTTCTTTCTTTCTTTCTTTCTCTCTCTCTCTCTCTCTTTCTTTCTTTCTTTCTTTCTTTCTTTCTTTCTTTCTTTCTTTCTTTCTTTTTAATTTTGAGAGAGAGTGAGCAGGAGAGGTGCAGAGAGAGAGGAGGATAGAGGAACCGAAGCAGGTTCTGTGCTGACAGCAGAGAGCCTGATGTGGGGCTCAAACTCACAAACTGGGATTATGAGCTGACCTGAAGTCAGATGCTCAACTGACTGAACCACCCAGGCGCCCCTCCCTCCCTTCTCCTCGCTTTGAATGTTTTTATTTAGCAATACTTAGCCAGACAGAGTAATGCATTTTATTCCTTCATTACATTCATTATGAAGTAAGGGTTCTGTGTTCATGTTTTATTATTTGTGCAAAGTCCTCTGAGTAGAATTATTGTATCAAAGAGTAAGAACATTTTAACTTTAAACTCTTGATAACCTATTGGTAAATTAGTTCCCAGAAAAGCTGTGCCATTAAAAAAAATTTTTTTTAATGTTTATATATTTTTGAGAGAGAGAGAGAGAGAGACAGAGTATGAGCTGGGGAGGGGCAGAGAGAGAGAGAGGGAGACACAGAATCTGTAACAGGCTCCAGGCTCTGCGCTGTCAGCATAGGGCCTGATCCAGGACTCAAACTCACGAACTGCAAGATCATGACCTGAGCTGAAGTTGGCTGCTTTACCCAACTGAGCCACCCAGGCGTCCCAAAGCTGTGCCATTTTAAACTACACAAGCAAAATGAGAGAATGCCTCTCATTGCCTTTCTTCCTGCCTTTATTAGGTATTATTAAAAACAGATCTTGGCAGTTTCGACAGTCAAAAGCTTGTATCTTTAGATTTTTTATTTTTAAAACATTTTAATTGTTTATTACCCATTTAACTTTCTTTTATGATTTTACGATCATCTTTAACCCTTTTTTTTAAACTGGTTCATTTAACTGGTTAAAATGTTTCCATAATTCTTTTTATTTCTCCCTCTTGTCATGGTTTTTGGTTTATACCAGTGGACAACACGGCTCATTCCCATGTTTCTTTCTCAGCAGTTGTTGCGAGTTTATTTTTTGTATGTATTTTGAGAAAGATTCAGACTGGTAATATGCCTACTAGGAGGCCCTACCTCATGGGACTCCTCAGGAGTATGGCTAAGGTGAGGGTCTTACCTTGGGAGGTAAGAGGGTCTGTGGGGTTGTAGTTAACAGTGGAAGGTACTTAAGAGACATGATTGCATGCCTAGAAAGAAGACTGGAGAGAAGGTGAATCGTGTGTCTTCTGTGCTTATTAGCGTCAGTGGTGCACCAAGGGGTGAACTCTGGAGGGGCTTCGTGAGATCTTTTCTCATTTTCCTGCTTTGTTCAAAAATAGAAAATAGTTTTCTTGCTTTTCTGTATTTCAAGAGTTCTGTTTATCTTTATTTTTATGAACTTTATAAACTGATACTTGCTTTATCTACTTTAAAATTTTTCTTAATGTTTATATATTTTTGAGGTGGGGGGAGAGGGGCAGAGAGAGGGAGACACAGATCTGAAGCAGGTTCCAGGCTCTGAGCTGTCAGCACACAGCTGGACATAGAACTGGAACTCATGAACCGCGAGATCATGACCTGAGCTGAAGTCAGACTCTTAACCGACTGAGCCACGAGGGCACCCTGATACTTGTTTTAAAATGAGGCTTAAACATTTCCATACCCTACCTTCCCTAAAGAGAAGAAGTTTTCTTACTGTATATCATCTTGTTATGTTAGATTGATAAAGCAGTGATCTGAGAAATGCTCTTAGATTTGGAGGCAGAAAGTTAGAAAATCCACATTAGTGTATAGTCTGCCAAATGAAAGTGGCAAAAATTTAATCATTTCCAGTAATGACCTTCAATTGAGAATTTTTCGTGTCATATTGTCTAAAGCAGCGTAATGACATCCAAAAGTTTTCTTAAGTTTTATTAATTTGGTTTTATAATATTGAAAATACATTATAAAAATAGAAATTCTGGGAAAGTCCTTTTGTTTGGAATCCTGCTATGGAGAAACCTATTTACATTTGGGAATTGAGAATTTAAAATCCTTAGGAGTCAAGCGATGTCAAATCCATATTTCAAAGCACATACTCTTGACATCTATAAGCCAGTCTGTGTATTCTTGTTTTTATATACAGTTGATTAGATGATTTTTAGGCCATCAGCATATTGTTAGGTAGGAAATTATTGACTACATGAAAGAGAATAGAAGAGGTAAAAAAAAATGTCCTTCTAAAACCTCTTGATATTGAAGCCAATAACCCTTTAGTATTGAGGGAATTGCTGTTACAGCATGGCACATACATTGATGCTTAAAGAAAGAACATAGGGTCCCTTGGTGGCTCAGCTGGTCAAGTGTCCTACTTGTGATTTTAGCTCAGGTCATGATCTCACAGTTTGTGAGATTAAGCCCTGCATTCGGCTCTGAGCTGACAGCACCGGAGCCTGCTTGGGATTCTCACTCCCTCTCTCTCCCTGCCTCTCTCAAAATAAATAAACGACCT